CCGATTGTAACAGCGTTGATTATAATGCTGATAAAGGCAGCGAGAATGATGGAGATGATGTTGCGGTCAGTCTCACAAGTCAATGAAGTGATTCTGAACAAAAGGTTTGAGTGCCAGCATTTCTGTCCGTTCGCAGTGACCCAGATCCTTCCAACAACCGGAGACCCTCAATCCGGTTGCATTAATCTTTTGCTGGTTAAGGTCAGGACCGGCATTGTCAGACCACACAATCACTCACTTCCACGCTCAAACACGGAAACCACTCTAAACCCGGCTGATCAAATACGCAGTCCCCTTTCAGTTCTCTGCCGCAGTGTCCATAAATGGAATGACACGTTAGTCGAAAATGCGGGCTATTCGTGTGTTGTCATTTTTCAAATACTGTGGTTTGAAATCTCACGCAAAAATTCAACTATCTACTACCTACCTTGTTCAAAGTATATATCGCGATATTTCAAAGCAAAACCTGAAATGTATATGCGTTTGCATCATTCACTTTTATTCAAACAATGCAGACAAATAAAGAGAAACGCACAGGAAAGTTATCATTCAAATCTTTTGAAAGACTGCTGATTAGCAACTTACGTATCTGTTTGAATAGTACAGCGGAACATGAACAGATTTCGTATTTTAGTGAATAATGCTGCTATAGGTGACAGTCAATGGTTGTGATTAACTTTTTTTGGCAAACAAAAGCATTGCAGTCTCTATTAATTACGCGATTCTTGTACCCCAAAAATACACAAACTAATAATAATAATAATAATAATAATAATAATAATAATAATAATAATAATAATAATAATANAATAATTGAATAATTGTAAATCCGATAATGTTTCTAAAAGACAAACGTAACGTTTCAACTCCTTTATTCCAGTTTAACGCATTTTGTTTTCACAAACGATTGACCTAAATTACCAGGTCAGCAAAACCGTTCACATTTCTGGCCAGCCTATTGCAGTACAGGTGCAAATTTATAAAATATCCTTCACATTCACGGAGGAACCACAGTTACACAGCTAAATTTGTAAATAATAACCAAATTTTCCGATTACATATAATATTAAATTATTATCTAGCATAATTCTACCGGCCGAATGGCACGAACGTCATTGGTAGACATAAGCAACTCACAGTGAAATTCTCCATGGACATTATTCAGTAATCACTGTCGAATATCCTACCTGCGTCATAGGTATTTGTGTCCCTACAATGCCAGTGATATTGCATTCAGTTTGTGGACATGGATGAGTGAGAACTATGTTTCTCAGTGGAAAATTCACCATTTCGAGGGGATCTACATTCTCATTGATGTGCAACCACAAATACTTCCTAACCTGATTCTTATCATCGGGTATCGTACAACCGTAATTCTAAAAATGCCTCTGTACTCCCAATGCGGAATGCTAACAAGGAGAGTACAAAATCAAATAGTGTCTCATGATTGTGTGCTTAACTTGTGGCTATCTTTCAAATGAGTACGCAGCTAATCAGGTTGGGTTGGCAATCAGCTAGGTTACATTCTTATTTATAGGTTTCGTATTCGCACAAGATTAACACCGGGTCGTTACCGACAAGAGTATATCATTATTAATGTATTTTTCCCTATGCAACGGTGTACATTAGAATAAAACCCATTCGGAATAATTGCTTGGTAATATTTTGCTTTGAGTTCATTGAAATTCAAACTAAATACTATTAGTATATATTTGAAATGCTTGAAGTTCACATTTGTAATATCTCTGCCGCCTGAAACCGACGAATTTCACTTTTCCCAAGGCTAACACAATGTGGGCATTGAACACATCCGAATGGGTAAGGCGTTTGTAATTGAATACGCCAAGCAATGCCCAATACCGTTCATCTCGTTGAATGGTTTTTCGTTCTACAATCGAGTTCTTTCAATGAGATTTTGCAATTCACTATTGCAGAGTGAAGATTCACACATATATTGAAGGCTCTGTTGAATGGTACATGTTTAAGTAAGAATTCTAATTATATGTTTTTGGTAGGCTTAACGTAATGAACCGTTTCGGAGAACAATGAGAATTCACTAAACTCCCTTGGGGCCATCTGCTTTTTTCATCAAGGATGCAGATACCGATCATTTTCATTAGTTATCAGAATCTAGGTATCTTATCTGGCAAGTACCAGGAATTGACGAGTTACCCTTGGATAATGGACGGTGCTGGGTTGTTTTTGTTCTTCTTTAGTGTACGCTGGTAGATGTTAAATGAGGTTTGACCGTCACTGTAGACCACTGATCTGTGACACACTATACTTATGCTCGAGGTGGTTCTTTCTGATTATGTGACGCGGAGTACACTGAAAGCCGCTTCAAATTTTACAACCCTGGAGGTATCTGTGCTTCCATCCACCGTTGGTTAATTACGTCTGACATATGCCCGTTCATTCCTCTTGCGTAATGCAGAACACCTTGACAAATTACACACCTTACACAAGTCTGTCTTCCGACAAAGCTTTTCGTCTGGTAAGGATGCTGGACAAAAAGCACAGTTCTATCCTTTTGTGCACGGAGACAAACACCTTCAATCTGGGTGTGCTGTGACGGCTGAAAATCATTCTTCTCACAGTTTTATCAGATACTTACTACTCGAGGAAAA